TGTCACGTATATCTTATCTGTGAAATTTAAAGCAGTGTCCTAATATTCAAATTATGCAAGGAAACCCGTTTACTTGTTAGACTTCACTGTCAGACACTATTGAGTGACTGACTAGCTTTGTTCCTTCTTTGGTTATACTAACATACATAAAATGAACTGTTAAGGGGACATGAGCATTTATCTACATCAATAACCCACTTCTTGTAATGGCCCAAATTAAACTGATTGAATCTTTGCGCAGCATAAAACGTACAACCATGCGATACAATGGTCTGAAAATCAAGACTATTAATTATAGGCTCTATAGCTCCTAAGTCGATTTGACAACTGATAGTCGTTATGTTCCAACTGAAAGACATTTTCAAGCCCCCCTTTTTAAAGGGGAGTTCTAAATTAGTATTATCTTTCAAATGCCGTTGGAATTTAACTTTTTCATTTTTGGGCCTGTAAAAATGGGACATAGTACCTTTAAATGCAATTTACAAGAGGCAAAACATCGTGCATAAGCGAAACTTCCATCATCATTGGAAAGCAAAGTTTAAAATGATGAGCTTTGAAAGTGATTGAGTGACACCAATGGCCTAACTCCTTCACTTTTACTGTCTCTTCAGTATATCTAGTTTAAATGTGCTTCAGGAATTCAAAACTTTGGTGAGTACTTGTATGTTTATATTAACTTTTTATTTTCTTCATCATAATTTTTTATTTTTTTTATTGTTGGTTGTTTGGGGGGGAGGTGTATAAGGAACGGTATAGAAATAGAATATTCTTTTGCAAAAATGTCAATTGAATTCCACTCAATCATCGTCAAACTTTTAAAAAAACATTATCAAGAGCATTCATGTTGGGTATACATGATAACAAAATGTAAACGTGATAAAAACAACTTTATATTTTTGTTTACCTGTTTGTGCTGTTGTGTAAAGGCCTTCTGTTGTCACTGCTTGGTTAGGAATGAATTAAAATTAGAGTGTGTTATTTTTTGCACCCAAATTCGAAAAAGGAAATCGTCATATGAAGTATAATAACAATTGTAATAATAATGCAACATATTTTTATAGCTCTTGAATACAAACAATTCTAGGGACTTTGCATCAGTTTTGTCAAAACTATCCAAAGTATATTACATAATTGCAGAGATTTTCGAATTGAACTCAATCTCCAAAGGAAGTAGTAAGCAATATCAAAAAAAAAACAACAACTTAGAAATGGAAAATAAGGAAGAATATACCAAAAGATTAACAAAATATTGTATTTAATACATTCGTTAAAACCGTTTATTAGAAGACAAAAGATAATGAAAGACGATTAAGAGACATGGAGGAGGAAAGCAACATTGAGTAAAATGTTGTGTTCTCTTTAAATGTTATCGCCACTAGCGGTTCTAAATGGGTTTTAAGGGATTCTAATCTCCTCCTTCGAGTTTTGTTTAAGCCGCCCTCCTAAAATTATCAGTTAAGGAGGCACGCATAGTAAATGCATACAAACACCCAAGCCCGCGTCAGCCCGCCCCCCCCCCTAAAAAAGAGAAATCTAGAAAGGTTCCTGGTTAGCGCTTACTTTAGATTAGCGCTCTTTTTTTGGTTTATTCCTGATATGGTCAGAATGTATATTTAAGATTTCAAAATATTGCTGGAACTCTAGGTTTGGCTCATTACAGCCATGAGCCCCACCACTACCATTTCCGTATTATGTAACCTTTCTACCACTTATAGTAACACACATGAATCCAAAACCAATGTTTGGAATACCCAGACGGAATATGTTTTATATTTTTTTGTGTCCACATTTATTTAGACCTACTTACAAGCAATTTTACCCAATTAATATGAATTTTATCAGTGGTCTATCTACGTATTATGGCTCCTGGGGCAATGTTTTGAATTTTGATCGTTCATAAACGGTTTCCACATGTGACGCCAAATTAACGAAACAAAAATCCTTTCTAATGGAATATGTTATAACCTGCATATACAGGGGTGCATTATCACTTGGGATTTTGATTCTTTTCTTCTTTTCCCCATTCTCCTTTTTCTTGCGTTTGTTTGTATTTTGCACCCTTTTCCTTTGCGTATTTGTGCCTTTTTCCAGTGCCGCATTGAGCACTTACCCCTCCTGCATGTAACCTCTCTAACATTGATGTATATTTCATACATGTATGCATTGTAATTTGTAGGTTTATTTGATTTTTTTGTTTGGTTTAATATGTAAACGTTTATCATTGTATTTTGTTTTTTAAAGCGCTTAGAGGATTTGGTGGTAAGCGCTTCATAACCACCGTTTTTATCATTATTATTTATGCCGATACGCGACCGACATTTAATTTTAATTACAATGCCAATTTTTTTTTATATACCTGTTTTACACGTCGGGGCTGATACATTCCATTTGGGCCATATTGGCAATAGCCCTGGTACACACTGCAGTGTTCCACCTCCATTTAGACTGTATCCATCATCACACGTGAGATGAACAATGGAACCAAACCACGTGATGATAGATTCCCCAAACCATGCATGTTAAGAATCCCGTACATGTACATGTACATGGACTAGGCAATATGAGTCTCAGTCCCATTGAATTCATCAAAGAGAAATAGACTTCATCGGATTCGGGCCGTATTAGAAATATACAAATTTTGTTGAGAAAATCATTGCAGTACGAGAATATTTTAAAGAGGTTCTAGGCTTCACTGAGCAACATTGTTTGAAAAATGTCACGTCAAAAGCAATTTCTTTCAGATATGAGTGCAACAGTGAACATGGTCATGATGGCTGAAAACGTTAGTATCACACGCGATCTTGACCGAACATGACCTGAAGGGAACCTAAACTTCAAAAGAGAATGAGCACATTGTTTGCATGTGCTACTTTAAATAATGAGGGTAATATTATTAAGATTAAGATAAAGGATAGTGGAGATGTTGTCGATGGTTAATGTAAAAAAATTACACATTTCTCTTTCTTCCTCAGAGACAAATCAGAAAATTGCAGACTATTCAAGATTCAGCGGCGAGATTAGTGACGCGAACTCGAAAATAACCACTCCTGTGCTACGAAATCTACATTGGCTTTCTGTCTAATCCCATATTTTGTTTAAACTATTAATTTTTGCATACGAATGCTTTCATGACATTGCCCCTTCCTATTTAAGTGAACTATTATCATTGTATCGGCCTTCTCGTACTTTAAGATCAAGCTTAAAAGCCTTATTTATTGTCCCTCCCACCTCAACTAAAACATACGGTGAACGTTCTTTTACCCACGCCTCCTCAGTGTTGTGGAATGCACTTCCAGAGGTATTTATTCAATGTTAATAGTGTATACCCGTGAACTCAGTGTCCAACACTACATGTACTTTTTTGCTTCTAAGTGGATTTTCTAATTTGTATTACTTTTTCTTGTAATTCTTTCCTTTCTATTTAAAGCGCATAGGAACATGTTATCATGTAATGTGTTATGCGCTATAACAGAACTGAGTATTGTTATTATTATTATTATGTAGCACTTAAATGGGACTACAATTGGTATGATGAGTGAGTCTAGTATTTTTTTCAACTACAAATCTTTCAAAGAGGAAAGCAGACAATCTGGTAATAGTTCCACACGAATCAAAGTAAAGGGCACTTTGCATATTGATAATGGATAAAGCTGTGTTCCGATGGGTACATAAAGCAGAAGAAAAAAAATCCTTTCAGGATGGGCATTATTCTCAATCATTACAACGGTATTTTTCGTTGTTCGAGGGATATCTATTGATTTGCGAAAATCTGAGTTTAAACGCCCCTGTCATCTCGGAAATGGGTATTCTTCCGTAGTTTTAGTAACTGCTTATAATCAAAAAAACTTTATCGCACGATTGAAATCTTGGATAATCCTATTATTTGTTATGCTTATATTCCCCTATGATCGCTTGTGAAACTAACGTTTTCATTAAGTTACCAAAACTGGCGCAAATGGATTTTGATGTGCCAGTATCATAACAACATTACTCGGTGAAGCTTGTATGGATTAATGCAATCATATATAATTTAAAGGCATTTTTCTTCTGCTTTGTAAACAGCAAGACATTATTTTTATTCAGCTTATAGTTTTCTCACGAATACCGTTTGTTTTGGGGTTCCGTTTTTTACTTTTTATCATGGTCAATATTTCCTTTTTTGTCAATCGCATCTTCATATCTCCTCTTGCTTAATTTTTAAAAAAATTATCTAATTGATGCAAACTACAACTTCACCCCTCTCCAAACCGTACCAAAAACCAACATCCTCCTACGCCCAGACCCCATACCCTTACTACCCACACCTTCTCATTCACCCATCTTCACACCCTAGCACCTTCACTCCCTTACGCCCCACACCCTACATTGCAAACCCCCGCATTCCCAAGCCTTCAAAACTTCACACCCTTACACCTTACAACCTCATACCCACATCCACACCCCACACTCACACCTCAAGGTGGTGACATCTTCACACTCTCACACCCAAACTGTCACACCTTCTAATCCTCAAACCCCACGCCATCATACTATCTCACCCTTACACCCACACACGCACAGTCACACCTTTACATACTTACACCCCACACTCACACCTTTATGTGCTGATATCGTCACATTCTCACACCCAGACGCTCACACCTTCACACCCACATCATCACACCTCACACCCACAGGCACGTAGCCAGAGTTCGATGTTTGGGGGCGGGGCGGGGAGGCACATACATGTAATCGATCGAGGTCAAAAAATGGGTCTAAAAAAGTTTAACCGATCTTGGAAATTTTAGGGGGGCACGTGCCCCCCCCATCCCCCCCCCCCCCCGTGGCTACGTGCCTGCACACCCACATCCTCACACCTTCAGGTAGGGACATCTTCACACTCTCACATCCACACAGTCACACCCCACACCCTCATACCATCTCATCCTCAAATAGATTTTTAAAAAACAAACAAGTGTAGTGGTATTTAAAACGCTGGTATGATTCAATATTCAAAGAGCCAACGGTATTTCTCGATGAATAATGTTCATACGTTTCATAAGGTTCATATTTATTGTCTATTTATCAAAAGTAATTCGTGGTATGAACATGATACATGGATACACATAAAAACGTATACATTCATACTTACAGACAAATTTAATTAAATAATTTTGAGTCAACAAAAAAACACACAAAAAACAAACAATCAATCATAGATATAGTCATGCATCAAACACAATGTACATAAAGGGAAGGGGGAACGACAATAAAATACTTACAGATTTCAGTAATGCATTGTATGTGTATAATTCATATCATTGTTTTTTGTTATTATTATTATTGTAAATATCATTATGTACAACAATTCTTATTATTATCGTCATCATTATTAACCACATTCAACATCAAGTTTTTATCAGATCCATCGGTTACAATAATATATTTTCATTGAGGTTGTAAAGGTGAACACCAGAACCACCTGTCCTTGGAAACCCCTACCCCATCCCTCCATCAATCTCATAATGCCAGCCTGCTAAAAAAAAATCGCAACACCAAACAATGAACCAACAGACTAGCTCCCCCTCCTTTATACTTTGAAACATCTATGTACAATGTGCAATAAGATAACGACCTCGTCATTGCCCTATACATACCTTCCTCGTTTAACATCCGTCTGGAGCTAGCTACAAATGAGTTTAAGAGCCGATTTGTTCGACGATATGCTGATCTCATCTTGTTACTTGACCAGATTGTTATATAGTTTTCATTACAGGGGTGCTGATTATTCTTTAGGATGTATTTAGCTTTTTCTACTATCCTATATAGACGTGTATATACAATTTTATTATTGACCTATTATCTTTTCGGCCTGTCTGATTATTGTATTCAACATAGTGAGGTCTCCTTTTATACGACAACTTGTGTATCAAACTAAACAATCAAAACGCGATGGTACTTTCAAGTACTGATTTGAAGAACGAAACTATTATGGTTTGAACGACATAAAATGTGTTCAACTTTCTTTAAAAATGCATCCGTTGTAGTCCCTTCTTGTAAATTGCTTTACACAAATGCATTAAAAATACATACATATTTAATTTCGGATGATATTTTTTCTTCGAAATTCACACTTTATGCCAACATCTGATACGTGGCATGTTGCAATAATAAGTGACTTTATTTTACTAAGTATTCAGATCGCTACTATATGTTAAAAGAATAGGGAAAACGCAAATCCAACTTTGCAAATGACAACATAAAAAAGGTAAAGAACAAACAATATGAATTTGAAACTATTAACTGAAATTTGTAAATACATTTTTAATGTACATGTATAAATTATATTTGTGATAGGATTATATCGCTAATATGCCTCTTCAAAATTTCCCACGCTAAGGTGAGGAATACAAAAAAAAAATTCTGGCTATACTTGCTAGTGCTTTTTGTGCATTTCCTGACTGTATGAACATCGTGCAGCTAGGGTTGAAGAATTTCCTTTAGAACAAAATAATATACACTGTACCTCTTGCCTCAGTCATGTATGTTGAATTTCATTCAGGAGGTATAAATTGTTTGTCTACTAACATGACTGGTTTATGTATTCAGTGGATGGTACAGTATGTTTTCAACCATCATATCAGTGTGACTGAAATCTCCGTTGTCGCTTTCACTTTTCAGCAAATCTTCCCTGTCCCTACCCATCTGTTGATCATCTTCTAAGCAATGGTAAAATGGGTCTGGTTTAGAAAACTGCGGCTGAATGCTCTTCCCGTTAAATCCCCCTTCATCGTCTAAATCATCTACAGAATAATATCCATGATTGTCACTTGCTCTAGAAGTTGCGCCAGTGCAGGGGTAGTCATCACCACCCTTCTGAGCTCTAGTGCCCTTTCCCGGTGTTTGATCTTTATCATGCGATGAAGTATTATATTGTAATGCGTGTCTCTTTGAAGTGACTGACAGGCCTGATGGATCGTCGTATGGTAATGTGGTGTAGTCAAGTGCACATACTTGAAGACATTTATCATCGAACCGTGTAAATGTATTTTGTCCGGTGTTTGAAGGGCGAGTTTCAAGATTTCTTCGTGGGGGAAGAGAGGGGCCTTCATTAACGCCATAAGAAATTGGTCTATGTGGTAAAGGGCGATTGGACATGGACCTTATTTCTGTCCTGTAATCACTTGTTTGTTTTTGATCATGAATATTCTCTTGACTATTTTCTGGTTCATATGTATTTTCATCCCTGCCTATGTTTGCATCTATCTGCATTGTGCTATTTCCATTACTAACGCCTGACCCCATTGTCGAGTAGTATGCGTTTGATTCATTCTCTGTTATTTGATAATGATTCTCTCTGTGTGGAATGGGTAGTTGAAGTGAAGGAAATGGTGTGATAGTTGTGTTTGAAGATTGGAAGCTGTCAATATTATCCTGGGCATGCTGTGCTGGAGTGTTAAAAATATGAGGTTGTGATTCTCCATCGTTGAAGTGAATTGTGTTTATGAGAGGGTCTTCAGTTGGTTGGATTCCACTTGTACCGTCGTGGGAAGGCTGTGTTCGTGTCCCGGAGGGCTCTCTAGGCAATCTTCCATCAATGAACAGTGATTCTCTGGCTCTGTTTCTGACATTTCGTTTCCTTTGATAAGGATAAAGATAATTGAGAATGTAAAAAATGTGCAGTTTATGATACTCTCGATTATTATTTCATTATTTTAGGTTTTCCCGCTCAATTTAGAGATTTGGTTATTTGGATTTATTTTAAGAGCAACAACATTCACGATAGTTGTGATTGACACGGTCAATTTTAATTCACATTCATTTTCGTACGTTAAAATGAGTATTCGTGCAACAAACTCTTCAAATGAGTCACGAAGACCTACATAATGGGCATAATATTTAACAAACGGTGATTCCGCAATTTCTTTTTACTCGTTCGAATTTGATATCAGTGCAAACAAAATCTTCAAATTAGTCATCTGAATTCAGAAAAGAATCATGCAACTGAAGGAATTGGCATTCGAAATAATTTCCCCCCGTTCGAATTTATTATCCATGCAACATTTGTTTTCAAACGAGTCACCCATGTTTCAACTTGGAGAATAAAGTTTAAGAATAGGCATTGCCAATCAGATGCAGATTGCCTCGGCTTTTCTTCAGTCAATCAAATTTATGAAAGGACAAACATCTTTTAAATATAAAGTGCAAACAATTTCTGATGCATCGTCCAAGACCAACTATTATAAGTATACATGTAGGTCTACCATGCTCATTCTCCATCAAATTGCGTTTTAATCACTTAATACTAACTAGCTCACAAAGGTCCCATATGAACATGATGAAAATGAAATAAAGAATGTAAAGCTGAAAAGAAAGAAATACGAACTGGAACCGGCCGATTATAAACAATTAAGAAAACCTGCAAAATGTCGAAATCAGACCCTCTTAAAAGAACCCGGATGAAAACAAACAAAGAAATTAACAATCATAGGCCCAAATTCACAAAGGAGGTTTAAACTCAACCCATGGTTTAAACCCTCATTTACATAAATCATTGTTTAAAAATTAGCGCAAAATAAGGGTACCCTTTGCGCGCGTGTAGTGTTGGACCTCTGACTGTGTCGCGCTTATTTTGCGCTTATTTTAGACCGTGGGTTATGTAACTGAAGATTTAAACCATTAAACCCGGCTCCTTGATGAATTCGGACCGTACTTTCATTGTGAACATCATAACGAATTTGAAAAGTATTTAAATATGATGAATTCGTAACTGAAGCAGCAATATGTCACATGAACAACAGGATGATTTATATGATGGCACATCTTGCCTTTGCAAATACAAACAAACACAAACATATATATATAGAGAGAAAAAACAAGCACAAACGCTCACACACACACCATGTAAAAAAACATATGGAATCCATGAAACTAAATAAACAAATAATTAAATTGAATTCCCTAAAATAAAATAGATTGCCCAGACAGGTTCCTCAGGCCTATTTTGTTAATTTGAATGCACGAATCTCCAAACTCAATACACGAAACCGTGCATACGTTCACGACTTCGTTTGCACATCAACGAATATCTTGCGAGAAAATAAATCGAATGCAGATTTAAAAAAAAATGCTCTACACTAAAATACTTTTGCCGATAAACTTATTTGGATGCCCATAAAATAATTCACGTTTCTCCAAATAAATTCCATTGCCGGGATTTCAAATTTGAAAGACCGATATCGTTCAGAAAACGATAATGCCTGAATTTGAAAGTGATTTTAGTGACAAATATATGAAATTGGGTTGTAAAACCTATATAATTGTTATTATTGTTATTGTTATTATTATTATTATCATTATTATCATTATTATCATTATCATCATTTTTATTTTTTTTATTCTTGTTATCATCATTATTGTTGTTATAAGTATAAGTATAAGTAGTAGTATTATTATTATCCACGTCATCCTCTTTATTTCAAAAGTCAGCATATACATGTTAAGTTTAGAGTTATAAGATTAGAAGCTGATGCTTAGCATTGGCGTTGAGCAATTTTATGTTTGGGAGAAATGCAGGTTCAGAAAAAAGAATGTAAGGGAAAGGTCCGTAAGGTGTTACAAACATATGGCATTTTGAATGTAAATGGCGCATGGCTCGTCGGGTTGTGTGAATATAGACAAGTTAGACCATTATGCACATATATAGTAATCATTAAAAGCCCAGAAAATTTGAAGAATGGATGGAAATCAGGAAGAAGTAAAACAAAAAGTGATACATAATATCTAGGAGAAAAAAGGATGAAGACGAAAAAAGAATAAAGTATCATTCATGTTTAGATGGTTAATTATATGAAAGCACAGTAATTTACATTGCCAGCTAGAACATGTAGACAGATTGTTATGAACAACATGCATAACACTGAAAACGACAATACTAATTTCTAGTTGTACGTCGCTAAAATACCATGAGTAGATGCAAATTATGTCACCGAAACTCAATTTATTTATACCAATCTACCATTGCTGTTTATGGATTATCAATCTTACATTTCATTTGAACTGAAAATAGAATTAAATGCAATACAGTTTCACAGTCTACATGTATCATGTTAGTGAATGGAATGGAAAATGGAAAAACAGCCACATGCATGATAACTATTTTATGCAAAACATTTAGATGCCACTAATGCAGACATACATACATCTAGGCATTCATTACCTGACTGATAGCATAATCCGTCCAGCAAATGGGTAGTCCATGATTCCGTTAGACTGTAATTGTACATTTAAAAAAATAGGTCGTCTGTTTGCACGATTGAAGGCATTCTGTAACATTATGCAGTCGCCTTAACAGTGGAAAGGCAGTTGATATATTTTCTCGTCACACGACGGGATGTTTACATGAGTTAAGGAGAAGTATAAGGAAAGAGATGATAATGGAAATAAATAAAATGGTAAAATCGAAAGCCTTCTATTTAAATATGCCCTCACCATCCAACTATGGAACATACAGAGAACATCTTAGGTCGGGATTGATAAGAGTTTATAAAACAAAAGTATTTATCGAAAATAATATCGCTAGTGATATTCGTTAGTCTCGCAATGTATGGTCAACAGGGGATCTAAAAGGTCACGACGTTTCGTGCGCCGCTGCAACACTTCGTCAGGTGATAAAATCTAATGTAAGCAAGCGTGTTCTATACTCTACGGGCGGATCCAACGGTCAATTAATTCGATCCATAATTGGAACCATAACGGACAAGGCCTATTGGCGATCTTTTAGACCCTTTGTTGAATATACATTGCGAGAAAAACGACTATCACTAGCGATATTATTTTCGATACTACATCCACAAGGAGTAATATATTTAGCAAAAGTGTTTATATTCGGTGCCCTCAATTGATCTTTGTCTCTTGTGCAACAGACAAGGAGACTCTGGCAATTTCAGATGTAGAAAATGGATCTTATGAAGAAATCAGCGTAACAGACCATCCGTTGATGCTAGGATTGGAGCGGTAACACAAGCCTAAACTTCCTATGCAGCATGTTTCTCGTTAATCCACAACCGAACGACCAACGCTTTGATCACAAGGGGAATGTGGCAGGTAATACGTCTACTGATGAAAAAGCGGATTCAATATATCTATTCTTCCATCATCTCGTTGCAGAACTCTCGCTGATTTTGCCAAGATAAATCAATATTTACGAAGCACAATTCAAACTTTTAAAGGGATGGTTCAGTTTTCTTGCCAGGGGCACTACACAAAATAATGTTTGTGTGAGATAATGAAAAACCGAGTGTCCAATTTGAAAAAATATACAATTTAAATGAGGGCATTTATGCACTTTGAAGGCATTGGCGGTCTTAACAAGAACTTAATTATCCCTTTAACCTTTTCTATCACATATTACATAATGCTGATTACCAGAATTTGACCACATTTCACTTTTGCAGCATTTTAGAGCATGTTTCTGTTTGCAGTTTCATTTTCATTTCTAACAGAACAAGTGATATAAACATTTATGACAATACATCTATCACAAAAATCAATATGTATTATCATGCATTAGGAAAATCATTAATTGAATTACAAAAGCATGTATATATTTTGTGTAAGTTATCGTTATTTTTAGATAAGGACAAACTTCAGAAATGCAGCGCTTGTAACATGTGGATCCCTCAAATAACGATAAGGCCTACAAACAAAAAAGATGTTGTATCGCTCTTTGCGACCGACCCAAACATCTTGACATCTACGGTCGGCTTTTTTTTTAAAAGCCTAGAGAAAGGAAAGCATTACCAGTACTCCTGTGGAACTGCGTTTACGATGAGCGTTTATGTTCAAAGGTGAGCATAAACGCATCCTAGACGTAGAATCAGTGGCGTATGCAGGATTTTTTTCAAGGGGGGGGGGGGGGGTTCAACAATCGAACCCAAAATTTCACAACGACTCAGCCAGCCGCCAAATAAGCGGGGGGGGGGGGGGGGTGAGAGGATATATATATTTTTTTTGGTCTCGAAATTTGAAAATTTGACATTTTGTTCCATGGGTGGGGGGGGGGGGGGGTAAGGGGGGTATTAACAAAAAATCTAAACAAATCAAAGGGGGGGGGGGGGAACGAAAAACGAAACCGAGAATTATCGATGTTTTATCATATCTTTACATTTACAATTAATCAATGACACATATTTGATAAGCTTATATCCTCCTCTTTCATTTGATGCAACTCATATGATGCATAATTCACGCATAAAATGCGTGGACCTATTAGGAATGGACATTCAACGTGATTCTTTCTTTTTATCCTATGATAGTCACCGCCTTCTGATTATGTGCATCTTAATGAGAACATTCAGCTGTTTTAACAATAACGACTGCGTAAGCATTTTCGGGCTTTGACAAAGGAGCAGTTCCCCTCTCTTGGGTTTTGTTTGGATGGTGTGCTCTGTAAGAGTGTGTCTTAAATAAAAACATCCCCAATGGGGAGCAGCAAAGTTGAAAAGCAGACGATTTTGGTGATATGAAATGTATTATTACTGATTCGCACAGTTTTGCACACCCCCATGACCTTATGAACAATTAAAAGGCCATGATCTTTATAAGCCCTTTGCGTTGTAACTCTGGAATATTATGCGGAAATTGGGGAAAATGGGATTTTAAATCACAAACAATCCAAACAAAACCTACCTGGTAATATCAACATGTTTTTCAAAAATAGAACACAGTACACGAAACAACAATTTCAAATTATTAACCAGAACTGCACATCGATTTCCCATGAGTTAAGCGGTTTATTATCTTCTGCGCATGTAGATTAATATGTTTAAAATCACTATCTTGATTCTGTCCCGGCTTACAGGCGGTGACCATCATGAGATCAAAGGGAAGAAACATGCACGGAATGTTACTGAGACGACATTGACGGAGACAATCACAATGAATTCTTTAAGAAAACAATGAATGTCCATTCGTAATAGGTCCATGATTAAACTGACGGGTAAAACAAGACTGCTAGAACACTGTGCTCGTCAGCTGGCAACTCCATAATAGGCTGTCATAGCTGTTTAAAACGTATTTGAATGAATCCAAGTCTCCCGCAACCTGCAATCGGCGATTGTCATTCCTATACCGAGAACAACCAGTGCGTTTCAGCTGAATGATTATCATCCCAGTCGCGCTTACCTCGATCATCATGAAATGTTTTGAGAGGCTCGTGATGCAGATTCTCTTAAGTCCTTTAATGACGCCGTCATAACACTGATTCGAGAAATCGCACAACATACCGATAAATTGAATGCTATGCAAGAGTGATGTTTACAGATTTTTAATCAGCATTTAATACTATGCAGACCCACATTCCCTTGCAGAAGTTACCTAGGATGAGCGTACCAGTTTCTTTAATTCTGTTGATAAAGGAGTTTCCTACGGACAGGAATCAAAGAGTTAAAGTGCAAGAGTTTTTATCCGATTCATCATCTATCAATACCGGTGCCCCTCAAGGATGTGTGCTTTCTGCTCTTTTATATATTTTGTATACTAATGATTGTACGTCTGGTAATAACGATGTTCGCTTTTCCAAATATGCAGATGATACTGCAATCTTGGGAATGATCAGAGGTGATGAAAATAACTATCGTTCAAATATACAGCAGTTTTTTAAATGGTGTGATGATAATAAAATCAATCTAGAACGAAAGAAATCAACACGACCCAGTGAAGATCAAAAATGAAAACACTGAAATTGTTCCAAAATACAAATATCTGGGCACAACAAACGATAACAAACTTATGTGTGAAATCATGTTTATTAATGGATGATCAAACGTACCTGACTAATGATTTCGTTTCACTCCATTTCCGCAGGGCAACCACACACAAAATCAAACCGATGAAGGGACCGATCAAGAAGAGGAAGAAGAGGTTTATTTTGTCACTACCTTCTGTTTCTGAAAAAGAAAAGATCCACTCAAATGATAACCGAAAAATTATGAAAGAATAATTTATATAATGATTACACAAATATAGGCCAAGAGCATTAGGTCAAAATAGGATTAAACCTGGACATTTTCTATAACAAGCTGATTTTTTCAGTTAATAAGTATTTGGTTGAGTTCCTTATGCTGAAAACATATATATAGACAATTAATTTTGGTATTTGGGTAGTTGCAAAGTTATAAGAAATACAGGAAATGGCGGCAATTTTGGGCGCCATTTTGGATTTCGAGAAAGGATAAAGTGGTTAAAAGCATGTATTTTATTGAGTTCCTTATGCTAAAAAACATATATTTAAACATTTGAATTTTGTATTGGGGTTACCTAGTTTCAAATATATGAGAAAAACAGGAAATGGCGGCAATTTTGGACGCCATCTTGGATTGCGGAAAACGCTCAAGAAGGATTTATGAGGACTTTTAGTATGTTAATCTAGACATATTCCTGGAGCTATCCTGAAAAAATCAGCTTTTTGTGGAAAATGTCCACGTTAAAACTGATGCTCTTGGCCAAATAGGGGTTTTCTTCGTTCCACCGTGTCTTCAAGTTTTACAAACCTTCGTTAATGTGTGAGCCCTTATCTTATCGCCAGAGTGTCTGGTCCAATTTTCTCAACACCTTCTAAAATATCACGTCTGGACCTGAACATTTTAATACGAGATAAATAATCACAGGAGTTATTTAAAAAATCATTTAACTTTAACTTAGACTCTAGTACAAGTTAAACCAGAGTTTAATTAAACCTAACTTTAGACCACAGGTTTAATGGATTAATTCGAAACGGTTCATTCGCGCCCAAATGGCCTCATTGCAGATTTTGTTACAATCATACTAGATAGAATGGATACATTAGTTAAAGACATTAATATCAGTGAAAATGCACCTGAAAAAGTGCATTCAGTAGGCCCAAGGGTCTACCTCATGCATCATCATGATAAATATCGGGCATGATAAATATCAAGATATCAGTCCAGTCTATGTCGGTCACAACTTCATTTTTGTATCTGAAAGTCAGATTTAGTTCAACCGGAGTTTAAGAGTATGCAGTTTAATTTGAATCTGAGTTTGTTCGGCATGGGGATGTTGTATGTCGCTACTATACAGGGTCAGTAGTGGCCATTCTATCTTCAAGACGACTGAAATTCGCCCCATAATGTGCATGTTTCTTTTATTTCTAAGGTATGATGTTATGCGAGCATTTCGTGAACATGCCAGAAAGAAATTCAACTTTCCACTTATTTTGTATTGATTCGCCTACAGAAGGCTTTGAGAAATCGTAATTATGCAAGACCCATAAAATGTCCTTGATATGATAGACAACGACTTGTATAGTGATCCACAATTTTGAAAATTTGACAAAGCAAATGCAAGATACCAGATAGCTTTTCAGCCTAATTTGATATCCAATTTTAGATTGGGATGAAGGGCCAGAGGAAATTAATGGGGAAAAAAGGAAACTGACATAACCGTTGCAGAGACAGATCCTGGAAGGGGAACATGGAACACAATATGTGTTAAAGGGATAGTTGAGTTCTGTTTTCAGACCGCAAATTTCTTAAAAGTGCATGGTTATTGGTCTTATTCTTATCTATGAAATATCTAGTGCCCTTTTAGAACCTAAAATTGCTATGAAGGACATTTTTTACCCCAAAATGTGTGAAATTTAGCCAATACGATCATATTAATTCAGCTCCACTTTCAAAAAAAATACGGTGACCGTTAATTGATTATTTCATTAAAAATAACAATACATGGGCCGGCTGGTTGTGCGTAATATAACCAACACGAAAATACCAACAAAAAAGCCATCATCGGCATTGGCTGAAATACGACATAAAAAAGGCGATATTTCGTTTTTTCACCGTTTTTTTTTAAAATTATCTAATATTTGTGGTGGTATACACGTATTCGAAATCGTTTTATTTATGGATATTTCTGCCGTCTCTGAACCGATTTTGATCAAACAAAGATGGTTTTGTCATTTAAATTGTATATTCTTTTAAATTTGACGCTCAGTTTTCATTATCTCGCAAAAAATTATTATGTGTAGCGCCCTCTGCAACAGAACTCAACTATCCCATTAAGTATATATGGTTGAAAATGAATGATACTCACCTTCCGTATACAGCGTTGAGTCTGTTGATGATGTACTTGTACTATCTAACAATCGTGTATAGAATGAGATAAATGAAAATAAGAAGATTGAAGATAATTCCTGTTCTTGATCGCATGGTGATGTAAATTAAATCACGTCGTATTTCTACAATTATATTCCTATAGGGTCAGTTACGTCGTTGGGTGGATATCTAAAGGTTTGTTTTTACCTTACTGCTAATATAGCACGAACATGTTTGTGAGTTACGACTTTAAGCCCTCTCCGAGGGACTTCGTAATGGGGATTAATGCCTTACCAAAGGCCACCACATAATCGACTTGATAACGCACCCGGGATATCCCTTTTACGAGACCACTGCTCTCCCAACGTGACCGCTGAGCAGTTGCACCTCTAATTCAAATGCCTTAAGCAAAGCATTGTTTATCTACAATACATTTTAATGGTTATTTCAGTACCTCTGCATTTTAGTCCAATGTTACGAGCAAATGTCTCGTCGATGTAGATTATTCTTTTGTTTATGGGGGCAGCATTATCGCCACGATGGTGTAACAAAAATTGACCCAGAATAAATATACCAGTGTTTATGTTAACAATACCAGAATTAAGTGTGCATTTATTAATGAAATCAATCGCATGAGAGCGCTGCAACCATATGCTATGGGCATATTTTTAAAGGGCGAGGTTTGAGGTCTGGTGGCTGAATATCAACCATCATGTTTATCAATTGCACGAGCGAGGGAAGTGAGCGAGCATAGAAACAAAAAACCCGAAAGTAAGCGAAGGGACAAAGTCAAATATCATGCTGGTTTTTGAGTTGATTACCACTACCACACAAACTAAGCACACCTTGTTTATTCGAAAGATTTTGTCATGACACACAGTATTTCTGAGGTGTCTTTTTTTTGTAGCGAACACCCCTAGATCGAGAAAGAGTTTTTAGTAAATAATAATTTAAGGAAAAGCTTAAGCCACCATGAGTTTGATTTCATATAAAAGGAAAATAAACTATCTACCTCTCGATACCAATTGCAACGGAATCAGGAGTAATTAGCATCGCAATTTAAAGAATGAAAATGTAATTTCTTGTGATTTTTTAATTTAATTTTATTATATTTTATTTAAAAAAAAGATTTGTTTCCATATATGAAAATCGCGAAGGTGCCTCTTTTCGTACTTTTTTTTTGGAATTTGCCCATGTACGGGGTCAATATCCTGTGCAAACGAGAATATGGAAACGTTGTATCCTCCGCTCAATCTGACTTGCGTGCATAAAACAAATAAGCATTTTTGCATTAAAATTGTGAAATTTTCTAAAAAGTGCATTTCTTTCCAGCATTAGGGTGCCCGAGAGTCCCTTGCATGGGTAACCTTTCAACAAGTATAATATAACAAAATAATATGCACTCTTTCTGTACTTTTGTCGGAAAATAGTAATCCAACATACAAGAGACGACATTGTGTTGGAGAAGAGCAAAATAGCGAGTTTCAATTACACTTCGGCCGCTCTCGCAGGTTCTCACTCGTTCCATTGTGGTCAGGCGGCTTTAGGGTGAGTGGCTAATGAATATACTAATCGTTAGCTTCCTTCTGGAATTAAACTTGTTTTGATTGGTATATTCTTGTCAGAATTTACTCATTCACATAGTGGTAATACCTGCTCGATGAAGCCAGGGGCCAGTGACAACAGAACTATAAATATACGTAGAAGGCTCATAGTGGTTCGAAAAATGTGGCCAGCGCTCGTACGTGATCACGTCATAACCGTCATCTTCGTTAGTCCTCTGTTATATTCGCCGCTTTTTTTTCTCAACGACAGGCCAGACTGGAATTCTTTAAATTTGTGAGCTGAAAAAATCGAGGACTAAGCAAAATGGCGACGTGTGCACTCAAGCGCATCTCTCAGCACGTTCAACGGCCACCCGTCGATCTGTGCATTGTGAATGGGGATATTAAAGCGTTCTACGTATTTTACAGTTTTGTGCCCGTAACCCCTGCACTCAACATTGTGTGTTGTGGTCAAATCCAAGCAAACGTTTCTGTGGGCTTGTATCTATTTGCAGTGAAAAGTTATTGATCTGATTTCTACAAAAACTAAATTACTGCCCAAATGTATATTAACTGTGTGCATATACATGTTTGGTTTGTTTAAATCGAGTTTTAAAGAAAACTTTTAAATACACCCTCTAGTAACCATAGATTTGGTGTCAAATTATGGATATATAAAGTATCTTTAAGTTGATATCATTTTCATTGAGAGATTTAGTGTGTGAAACATACCGAGAAGGTGTTTTTTGGGGGTACAAATATTCCCCTCTTGTTCCGGTATAGTATCTCGGTATATTAACTGGACGATAGTGATTGGACATTTAGTAGTGCATTAGGAGTGCTGAGTACAATATTATTGATAATTTCTTCTTATTGTATAATGTGATGTTTCAGGAAATGTGGGCATTGGTAGTTCCCCCCCCCCCCCTCGGAACTCAGTCTCAGTCTGAAGTACATCGGACAGGTAACGTGCCGTAAAGGTTTTCGAACTTGCCCAGTATGCAGCGTTGACAGGCGCGTACGCAGGGGGGGGGGGGTGTTTGGGGGGTTAAACCCCCCCCCCTTTGGTATTTTTATGTGTGTAAGCCCCCTAAAAAATACCTAACCCCCCCCCCTTTGGTATTTTTTTTTTATTAAAAAAAAAAAAAAAAAAAAAAAATATACCCCCATGGCGGACCTAAGAAAGGTGACCTTACCCCCCCCCCCCCCTAACGGAGCAAAATGTCAAATTTTGAAATTTCGAGACCAAAAAAAAAAAAAAAAGTGTCCTCTCACCACAGTTTATCTCAGAAATGGAAGAAAAGGACCGTATGGATGTAAGAACAATCTCCAGAGGCTTGGACGATTCGCGTTGGTTATTGGCTAAGAATCGTGCATGAAGGAGAAGCCTCACTTTGTTCTTCTCCCAGCCTATGTGGCCTGAGCTGGTGGTAAGTTCGTGGATGGAACTGCGACGGTGACCAGAAGCTGTTGACAGGAGAACAACTGCCTTGGTCGCAAGGTCTTTAAAGTAAGCCTTGTGCAGGGGCTCAAATGGAGCCCTGCTAAGAGTTTTGAGTACCTTGGGGAGACTCCTTGTTAGCATGATATATGAGAATACAGATTCGCCACTCGCAAAACCTTCGTGAATAACAGCTATGGCAGACCTATAACCACGAATATTGTTAAGTGAAAGACCCTTGTCATAAAGAGAAATAAGGAATTCAGCTAACTCACTCAGGATGGTGGCATTCTCCTCCTGGACCTTGGTCAGTACCCTTGTGATGATTGCAAAGGGAGGAAAAGCGTAGCTGAGTACATTGTTCCATGGGATCGAAAAGGGATATGTTGCCAGGGCCTTGGGGTCCCTGTGTTTTGTGCAATACATTTGCACTTGTCTGTTCACTTCCGAAGCAAACATGTCGAGAGATGGCTGGCCAAATCGATTAAAGAAGTGTCTCGCTATCGCGGGCTGGAGTATCCATTACGTCGGTAGATATCTCCCCAGTGATATGAAATCGGCAGTGTAGTTGTCCTTGCCCGGTAGGTACGATGCCCGTATGTAGATTGCCTGGTTGATGCACCACTGAAGGATTTCCAGTGTTAGGGAGCACATGGTTCTTAATCTGGTTTCCCCCTGGGGGTTGATAAATGCCACTACAGTCTTATTGTCTGACTTTATGAGGATTGACTTCCATTCGATCTCTGGCTGAAAATGTAAGAGGGCCCGTTTAACAGCTACCATTTCACGTTTGTATGTGCCAATTTCTTTCCAGATGGTTCCATGATCCCCCGGTTTGGTTGAGGTCTAGGACTGCTCCATAACCTTGTTTCTTCGATGCATCCGTTAGGATCGTGAGGGTGGGAGGCGGACTTGAAAGGGTTTTCAAATTGGGGGATGCAGCCACCACTGGATAGTTGCTTGATTCCTGAAATTATTGGGCGCCATTGTCTTGATTGCCTGTGACGGTGGGCATAGGTACTTCCGTAGATGGATTTGGAGAATTCTCCTGTGTTGTATGCAATGAGGTACCACATCCACTAGGTTTGCCAGTAAACCCAAGAAGACCTGCCAGCATTTGACTGAGGCCTTTTGGGCATGGAGTAGACAGGAAGCCGTTTCTTGCACCTTAAGGATTCTGTGAGATGTTGGTGTTGCTTTTTGACTTTTGATATCTAAGGATGCAACCAGACTGAAGAGTATTAAAAAGCCAGCTCGCGACTGTAAAGGAACCCATATACATGGTTGGTTGTTGGGGCAATTCTGTCAACGTAGTTTTTTCAGAAAATTCGACAGTTTCCTTATATAATTCTTCCTCCGTTATCACGTTTAGTGGAAATTGCTTTTTAATGATTGATGATTTTGTGCGGCAACCTCGTCCCCAGCGGGGTTCACGAGTGCTGTAATCTCCGTTCCCAGTCCGCTGCTATTATTTATTTTCAACGTCCTTCTCGGGACGAGGGCCTAATGTTCGTGCAAATATTTTGATTGGGTTTTCCTTCATTGGAGGAGGGGCATTTTTCACTCCGGTCTCACTCCCGTGGCTTTGTTTCTCCAGATCAGAGATCGGTTCATGGGATTTGGGCTTCGATATCCTCGGGGTAGCTCCCGCGTTCTTGGGATTCGATTTGCCCGTTGGTCTGTATTTTTGGGACTTCGTGATTGTCTTTTACGCTTTGGATGGGGTTTTCTCCCCCTTCTCACTCGTCGGGATGTCCGTCACGGACCCATCCCTGACAGCAACTTCAAGGCGCAGCCATGGGATCGCCTTTTTTTACCGGTTATATCAAACATCTTCATGGAGCACTTCGAAACAACGGCACTCCAGACTCTCTCACAACGCCCGTCTCTCTGGCTCCGATATGTCGACGACACATTCGTCATCTGGCCGCATAGCAGACCTGACTTAGACCACTTCCTCGCCCACATCAACCAGCATCACCCTGGAGACCGAGCAAAACAACAGCATCCCCTTCCTAGACGTCCTTGTTACCAAATCGCCATCCAGCAAGCCCGCTCACCAAGTTTAAAGGAAACCCACGCACACTGATAGATATATTCACTACAGATCCTTCCACCATCCATCCGTACTACAATCACTCCCCAACGCCCTCATCCGCCGAGCCCATCAACTCAGCGATGCCGACAATTTCGACCAGGAAATCAGCATGTCACCACAGCCCTAACAACCATCAACAAATACCCAAGACATAAGATCAAGTCCTGGACTCCCGTCAGCAAGCCCGCAGCCAAATCCATCCCTGAAGATAACCAACCCGCAGCTACACCACCTAAACAAACTGTTGTTCTACCCTATATCGGTCAAGCCTCTCAGATTCAACGTACCCTTCAAGCAGCAGACATCCAAGTTCGACACAGTTCCTCCAATAAACTCCATTCGATACTCCACTCCCACAAAGACACGCATTAAACCAAAAGAAAGCCGAGGTCTACAAAATAAAATGGGAATGTGTAAAAGTCTACATTGGTGAAACGGGGTGAAATCTGGAAACAAGACTCAATGAGCACAGAACCAGCTTCAGACTCAGCGATTGGGATAAGTCCGCCATCGTCAAACACGCCCAGTAACACGAACACACCATCGAATGGGATAGCAGTCATCTCATCTCCATAATGAAGCACTGGCATACACGCCGAATCCGAGAAGCCATCGGATGCACCGCCACAACACCGTGCCCCAAGAGTTAGGATTATACTGGAAACCCCTAATCAACAAGTACCCATTCTCTCCTCTGCCACCAACGCCTCCACCACCGCCTTCACCAACCGGCAGTCACCCGTACATCAACCACCGCCACTCGCCGAACCCTCAAAGCAGCCGCCAGCCTCACAGCTATAATAGGGACTTTTAGATTCGCACGAAGACACGTCCTTTTTAATGCACTGCTTTGAATGGACGTCACACGTATCAGTCTACGCAAATCTAAAAGTCCCTATTGCACAGCAGACGGCAGCAGACTACAACGCTGCCTACGTCGGGGACACACATAGCGTCTCGCCGACAGTACACCCCACTCATGGATTCGAAACTCCCACAAGTCCGCAACCCGGAAACTCTAGCCTGGACGGACAAGCAGACCACCCATGTCCACTCCCCGATAACTCAAGCCCACACAGCCATGTATAGATCCCCGACGTCCGCACCCCGGTGACTTAAGCTCACGCACGCCAGCTATTATCCACTCCTTACGACGGATAGTCAACCTGTTCGAAACGTCGAGCCACTCCCGCCACCCATCCTCTCCAAGCGCTATAGTTTTCCTTAGAACTATAAGCTAAGAAAGATAAACAACGGTCTTTTTCAAGACTACACAAACAGTCCTTTTAAGGACTACACACCCTCGAGAAAGATTACCGAGAGTCATTCTCAGGACTCCTCAATCCTTCCTCTCTCTCACATGGTGCACCCGCAATCCTACTGTATATTGTCGAAAGTGTAGACATTGTCTTAGTTGAAAAGCCGGTGAAAAAACAATAGGATTTGTGGGCGCGCCTGATCATTTGGTATGTACTCTGAGCAGGCGCCGGCAAAAGGAAGAGGAATTGATAAAAGGCGCGGGGAGTTATATACTCCTGACCGTCGGGGTTTCCAACATTGTCTCCGACGGAGTATGACGGCACAAAAAGATTTGGACTCTTCTTGTGTTTTTCTGTTAGAAGAAAACCTTTGCCGGTAAATAGCGGGTAAAGTAAAGGGAATAGCGTCAATGGTATTGGTAAGTATGGCGTTGTCTGCCGTAGATTCCTCTTTTCTGAGCCCTCCTAATAGTGACCTAAAACTCTTTTTTTTAACGTGCTATTAAAGCTAGAGAGTACTTCTTGAAAGGTTACAATATGGGGTGATGCAGCGTGTAATTTGCAGAAATTAATTTTTTTTTTTTGTGGCCAAGCGGATTAGGTATTTATTATGATTATTCCTAAATAAACAACCCCGATATCTTACGGATTGCTTATACCCAATTTATTGACCCATTTGGCACGATTATAATTTTTGTTCTATAAAATATAAAATATGTGGTTTTAAATATTTTTAATCGTAGAAATAATACTTACCTTCCATGTTTTGCGTGGTTGACAGCCATTCCGTGCCTACCAGAAATGAGTTGGTGCATTAAATTCCTTAACTATAAACATGATGCCTAAATAATAATAATAATATTGATAATAAATAGACGATCGAGTCTTGTAAATAATTCATGTCTGGCTCGTTGCCAGTCCTGGCGCTACGTTATAAGACTTTACACACACACAAATATGTACATAAATATGTTGATGTCATTTTTTATACAGAATCTGATGTCTCCCATGTGTATGATCTCATACAAAGAAAAATGGTGAGCAAGAGCCCAATATCTGATCTGCTGTTAACAAAAAAAAATGCTGGAAAAAATGTGTTAATGCACTGTAGCAACTAATAATGCCTTTCCTCTTACCTCCAGACATGTTACATGTTGGTACGGAACCATTCCAAACAGGATAATACGGCGATAGTCCTGGTACACACTGCAGTGCTCCACAACCATTCAGACTGTATCCAGCATCACACGTGAAACGAACAATGGAACCAAACCACGTGATGTTAGAATCCCTTGATCCATGAATGACGTCATCCAGCGCATCACAGAATCCAACAGAAACTTTTGAATAATGATTTAAAATATATATATACATTAACGACAATTACGACAGTAATTATAGAGTATACAATTGACAATCTATAATGTTCAATATTGCTCAACTACTATTCTATTTCATTGCAGTGCATGATCTTATGTCATCAAAATAAAGATAAATAACACAAAACAAGCAGGCGATTTCTTATTATATCGAGGCATGCGTATATTATATGCCTCAAACTTCCATCCATTATTTGTGGATATACATGTATACTTATTTTGAAGAAGCAGACTGACCGTCATAAACCAATGAGTTGATAACTTGTCGAGTACCCCGTCTATTTCGGATGCGTGTATTTTGGATGCATGTACTATGATCTGCAGCAGGAGCTATATCGGGTAGGTTAACTTCATCAGCAATAGGACAGAAGCAATGTTTTCCATTTATTACAGCTAGAGCCTTTCTTGTGTTTGTTCTGCATGACGATACACACTGTGAGGTTGTGTTAAAGATTGCTCCGCTTAGTTGTGGAAGATCTTCTGGGTGATAGCAACCTTTATATCCTGGTTCTGTATAATTAAAGGAGAAATACTTTTTTTTAAAGAGAACAGCAAAAATGAGCTACAAACTCCTTCATGTCATTCCAGTTGTGCCTCCACAAATTTCGAATATGCATTCAGCATATTGTTTCCCTCTTTCATTAATAGAATTTCATACGCTTTTTGATATTTCTGTAGGTTTAAAAGTGCCGAACTCATGTAGTTGAGTGAATGTTATGAAACGACTACACAGTTGTTTTGTACAATATAAAGAATAGCTGCCTTACCATAGCACTCAACTTTGACGGCATCAGCAGAAGAACAGTTTCCAGAAGACCATGAACAATCATCTGAACGGAATGTGTCTGTGAACATGTGGGTATAGAAAATTCTGTTTTCATTTGGCAATGTACAGGTATTTCATTCTTCGTAGATGTAATAGTTAAGCGCCTTTGAAACAAAAATAATGATTAATATCCGTATACTATTCTTTGAGAAGATTCCACAAGCAAACAATACATTCTTAAATATCAATAACGATATAGTAGAGTTTATCTAATTAGACAAGAGATGTTGTACGTCTATATTCAAACTGTTTGTATGATTGTATCAATAATACTTATGCATATAAATGTGTATATAACATATTATTATATTATTCAAGTTGTAAGCTCGTCCATTCAGCATGTGCTAAACTAAAGCAAAATAATAAAATTAATATAATTATGCACATGATAAATTCAAAACATGCTAAAAGCCCAGTGAATTGACCACCCACGAGTTAGACGGAGCACGACCTTCCGAGATTTCCTGAGGGTTCGTGAGGCTCACAGGCTGTCTACTTCGTGGCATTTGGTCTCATGTTTTGATTCTCAGTCCATATACCTGTTATCTGAGATTTTTTAATTTTTCTACGCGAGTTCAACAATGTATTGTGTTTTAACTCGTTGTTCATGAAAAAAAAATGAGTACAGAATAAATATTATGTTTGTAATATGAATACAACATCGGTGTAGGATGAAAGGAACTTGATTATGGGCGATACTAACCAGATGCGCAGACATGTTGCTTTTGGATGAAAGTTTGCAAATTTGAAATGAAGGGCTGCACGCTCCTGCAAAAGCTCAAGCTATTTCTCTCCCTCTATTAAAAAAAAACTCTCACAGAACTGTCTATCGTTAAATGGAGTCAAATTGTCTTTCATTTAAGACGAAAACATGGAGGGTATTTTCATAAGAGAGCATTGTTTTAAGAAACGCTTAAATATAAGGTAATCGTTTAATGCGCTTTTGGCGTGATGTACTCACAGTCATTACAGACGGGAGCCTTGGTGCAATCTTGCCCAGCTGAAATACAGTCACCAGTACCGTTGGAAACCTTCTTAACAGCAGGATAGCCGAGTTCTCCACAGACGACCTCTGCCACTCTTTCATGAAAGCTGTCTGTGCATACTCTCCTCCAGTCGCCCAATTGAGTACGAAGCTCAAGGAAACCCTTCCCTGGTGAGTTACCGCCAACAATACGTGCCACATTTGCATCCCCTTAAGAAGAGAGTGACATCCAACATACAGAATAATTTAGTGAAATAACCCAAATATTTGTTGTGTGGTGAGGGAAATTGATAGTAACGATGGGGGTGATCCGTTTCTCCACCACCAAATCTAAATCTGTGTATTTATTTTTCTTTAACCATTAAAGGTAATACAAAGTTTTGGGAAATTTTGAAAATTGGGTGGGTAGTGAATCTTTACAATTTTGTTATATTTGCATGTCCATGTGAATGTATTATAAGCACTAAAACAATTAGCCCCTAAAACAACTTCTGTTTTCGAGAAAAATTGAATACAAACATTTACCGTTGCTCCCGGTAAATTTTGATAAATTTCAAATAGCGCCTATGGCCGTACAATGGTAGCTGCGACCATGAAAATCTCAGAATATGTAGTTGTGATATATCATTTCTAAACGGGAATAGCTAATCGGTCGATTTTAGCCAAGAAACATTGTTTCATGTGTGTGTGTGTGTGTGTATTGGGTTTTTACAGACGTGTATCAATCAGATATGATTATTTACGTCTGGGACCGACCTTTAAACGTCACCATCCGAAAGACGTGACTCAGTTTCGAACGTGCGTCCTCGGCTGAATCAGTTTGTAAATTCCACTTTTTAGCTGGATTACAGGCGCACGCCACAACGCCTAGTTGTGGCTAAATTAATATCTTGACCTTGAGAGGGAGCTATACAACATAAAGAGTTTATTATTTATAATTTCATAACCTCAGACTCGATTTCAACCGCGACAACGATCAATGAATATTGTAGGAACGCATATGCTTCCAATATTTTAATTTGAACCGAATTCATGACCCCATACCAAAAAACTTTGTAATACCTTTAAGGGAGCGATTAGAAATCTGATTTACGTTTAAAACCTTTTACCATTCTTTCTTTGTCTCTTAAAACGATAATTTATTGATGGCATGTCATTTTGTAGGCATCCTTTCTTTGTTTTCCAAATCGGAGATAAAATCGTGGAACTATTAGCCCAAACTATCTTGTATTAGATGCATTTCATGTATTAAAACAAGAGCGAAGAGTTCTGTTCCCATGGAAAAGAAGCGGAATTTATGAAATATTAGAAATAAAGGTACTTGCATAATTGTTTCATTGAAGCAAAATATTGTGTAAAATCTTTTAACAACATTCCTCTCTTTGTATCTGGCTAAAACTGAAGCTTATCCCTTAGTCTGAATTGTTCATCTACTGCATTGTCTCGAAACAGTTTTGCTTAAAATTACAATTACTTGATTGATCGTAGCAGGATGCCGAGACGTTGAACCCCCTCCTCGTCCCTGATGTTAAGGATATAAATGTCATATCCAACTCATTTCCTTTGGTCAAGAAAGGAGGGAACTTGTGTTCCCCTGTGTATCGCTTAGAATTTTGCTTATACACGTTGTCAGCCAGGTCAAGGAAATCATCGACCTCTACGTTGAAGTCAGTGAATGTAACGAGAATCCTGATACCGTCAGGAGCCGTGATTAACCTATTCTCAACTGCTAGGTTCGGATAATGCAAAGGGTAGTTTGGAGATGTAAAGCAGACGTCATCTCTGCAGTCGATATGTGCAGCTAAACCAGATGAAAAGAACAGAAGAAAGCTCAATAAAATCAAACAAATTTAGTGAACTCATCCAGGAAAAAATCGGTAACATTTAACAATAAAAATCAATGAAGAAAAAATGGAATTACGATGGAGAAGAAGAATTTGGAGCGAGTAGATATTTACTCATAGAAAGCAAAAGAGAAAAGGGCGAAACAAAATTAAAAAGGTAAACGATGTAGTCAAAAATCGTCATTACCAAAACGCACCTCCGAGTATATAAGCGAGTACCAAACATATACTTTCAACAAAATAAAATAATTCTTAAGTATATCCCAGAAATACTAATAAATATTTCCGAATCCGAATAATGTATATTTATACCATTACAAGAAGAGGGAGAGGGTCAAAATCAACTTTGGGAAATAAAAGATAAAGAAGTGTTGAACAGACATACCTTCTCTAACATTTTCAGTGTCAACCATGTTTGCACATTGTAGACAATTTGGTAAGAAACAAATGTGAGCGGGGGGGGGGGGGGGCTTTGACTTATTTTAATTGTGCACATTTTGCAAATTACAAGGAACAAACGACTTGTATGAGCTTAATTTTTTACCTTCACTTGCTGCGAAGGATAACACGAGTAGTAAAGTGAAGACAAGGAGAAATGTCATTTTGAATGACAATTCAGTCAATACCACAGGCGACGGTTTCGTGGTATCGTGCATGGCAACAACTCGTGCGCTTGTGACTTTGGCTTCCGCACCTGTAGACGGTTGTCTACTAGATTGAACAAATGCAAACTTGGATGATAATTCCCGTTGGTACTGCAGCTGCCCCCGACTTGGGACGGGCGACGGTGGGTTAATTGGTTAGATTCAAGCACCCCTCCCTCTCCAGCTGCGGAAACTTTCGAAATATATTTTTCTTCTTTCTTGGTCATGCATTGTGAGGCTAGGCTTGCATCATGCCCTGGGGTACAAGGAAAATATATGTCGTTTGTTTAATTACATTTCTACATTAATATTTTGTGTATCTCTCAATCTGAGGTCTATATACAAACCAAGGAAAGTGACAGAGGTTTTATAACGGGAGCATAGCTGGGAAAAGAAAAAGAGAACCGTACTAAATAAAAATGTTTGTTAACGACTCATATTGGTATTTGTAGTTTAACATATGTCTTTGATCGACAGAAAACCATTATGCCCCCCACACTTATCACATACATTTATACCCACTTCCCCCCCCCCCCGACAGTTTGGTAGGTGCTTATAAATCAGTGTATATCAGTGTTGTAGTCAAAGCCCAATCTCTCAAGGTCAAGGCATTGACCAGCAAGGCATTGGTAAACATGATAAATAAAAGCGTAGCAAATGCACTATACAAAGACCGAGGTTTACACACACATTACAGACGAAGAACATGGGCTTTTCTATACTTAAAGTATTTCTGAAACAGGAACATTGTTGAGGCACTTCTTTCAAAAAGCAAATGAGAACACTATTACATGGGTGACTAAAAATTTGTTCATAATGGCGGAGGGATCAAAAGGGTAAAGTTTTTATTTTAAAAAAGGGGGCCACCTCCAAAGACCTGGTTTGAAATATCCTTACACTGTGCAAATTTTTGTTTTCACGATTACCTCCTTTTCATCATCCACTGTTGACTTGTATTATAATCTTCCTGGACATAGATAGCTTGTAATAGACATAGATAGGCAAGCAACGACAGCTAATAAATACAGAGGAACTTAAAGTTATAGCACCAATAAACCCATTTTAGTAAGGTTGATGGGGAGCTTTCATTTAAATTTGGTTACAAAATAATTATTTCAAGCTGTATTATATTAAGGTAGGGCCTACTAACAGGAGATATGTGTCAGTCTGCTGGCAAACGTATATTGCACATTTTCTTTAATTCTTCATCCCAACTTAAAATTTAGGTCTCTTGCTTGACAGGCCTGGATAGTTAATGCAAGGTTCCATAGCAACTAGGCAGGAGAACTGTTTATAAATACTTATATCTTGCCTAGTTTAAACATTGTGTCATTGTAGCAGACCCGTTATGAAAAAGCTCTGCTGCTACCTTATGAGTCTTTTCTCAATGCTTGATCACCTATGCGATACCCCCTGAGCTGACTAAAAGCAAGACTTCAACCAGGGAAAAGGTGATGTTCACACACAACGTAACCATCAAGGAAGAGATAAGTCCTGCATCAGTGCTGAGGAAAATGGAAGCGGACTCCTCGGACCTAAACGACAACAACGAACCTTTCTCACAGTATGATGTTAGATTCATGCGGTAGTGAGCACATTTTTTTGTTGACCCCCCCCCCCCTTTAGCGGGAGGCGGGGGCCCCCCTTGAGCGCCAGGGGGGGGGGGGGCCAATCCCCCCAAAAAGGTAAAAATCACGTGTTTTTACATGATTTTTTTTCTTAAGGGGGGGGCGGGCCCCCCGGGCCGCCCCCCCCCCCCCGGATCCGCCACTGGTCCAGCCCAACAAACTTCGGGCCGTATATGACTCCAGTGCACAGTACAAGGGGGAATCCTAAACGATTTCCTTCTCACTGGACCAGATCTGACAAAATGCTCTCGTAGGCGACTTTGCATATGCAGGAGAGACGAGATTGAATTCAGAAATGTTTCACCAATTTAAGGTAAGAGAAGACCACCGTGACTATTTGAGATATTTGTGGTGGAAGGACGGAGATATTCTTGAAGAACCCATTGAGCTTCGTATGACTGTCCATTTGTTTTGGAGCATCTTCCTTTCAAGCTGCTACAAATTTTGCATGAAGCAGACAGCTACCGATCACGCAGCCGAATTTGGAAATGATGTGAAGGACTTTATGCATCGGTATTTCTATGTGGACGATGGATTGAAATCCGTTCCTTCCGCAAAGGACGCTATCGATCTAGTTTCGAGAACAAGACAACTTTGTAAAAAAAGAAGGACTGAATCTTTACAAGTTCATATCTAATAGCAGATAATAAGTGGAATCTGTTCCGGGGCCTGATAGAGCGAAGGGGTTCCCCAAGGCGGATCTTTTGGGAACTGATTGACCCATAGAAAAGGCTTTCGAAGTATTTGTGGTGTGTTCAGGCGCGCCGGAAGCAATTTGGGATTGTGGGGGGGGGGGGGGCGCAAACATTCCAAGGGGCTCAACTTCTAGGGGCAGTGGCGTAATGAGCAAAAAAATTTGGAAGGGGGGGGGGCAGAAGAAAAATCTGCGTCACCACCACTCTTACACGTTACATGCAGGCCCCGCGGAACGTTTTTCAAAGTGAAGTATTAACAATCAGGTAAAGCGTAAATTGGCGTGGGGTCCAGGGCCTGACCCCGGCAGGGGGTCGAGGGGCTGAGCTCTCAGATGGTCAGTGTTTTTTTTAGGCATTAAATTACTGTCAGATAAGCATATTAAGATAACTTATTTGTGACACTGGCAGGTCACTAATTGGCGGGGAGTCCAGGGGTCAGGGCCTCCAAAATCTCAGGGGTTTTATGTATTTAATTATGGTCACATGAGCATCCAGGGGCCCGCCTTAGGGCCCTTGGTGGGGTCCAGGGGGCAGAGCTCCTGAAAGTTTCCCATCCTCTCACAATATTGCCACGATATGTGCGTATCGCTAAATATAAAAACCTCCATTGATAAATATAGATGGCATGCGGAATGTTTAGGAAATTTAATTCCTTTTCTTTGAATGGAACTTTATATGTGATTTAATTCAGGTTTTTAATATTGTTATGTTCTTTTGGGTTAAAAATACAAACCATCTTTACTCCTTTAAGTACTTTTCTTCTTTTTTTTGGAAAAGGGGGGGGGGGGCGTTTTGGGGGTCAAAATGCGTTTTGCCCCCCCCCCCCCCCACTATTTCCTGGTTTATAGTAAAGGTATCTCAGTATCTGAAATCACAACTACAATAAAGTCGCAATTGAGTCTACATTTAAGACTATTCATTTCAGTGTAAGCTGTAGACTTGCTACCTTTTAACATTCAATTTGTTTGCAGAATAAATTGTAGGCATAAGGTTGATGCTCATGAAATCATATCTATGAGTCTGATACAAGACTAAGGAGTTAATGTATTTAACAAACATTATAGAGTGGTGAAGTGTGACGTCATAAAAAAAAATCCATTTTTAGAATTTCTCAATTTTTTCTTCATATTCCGAAAGAACATCAAAAATAATGTCCAAATGTCGAAAACCAATTGAATATGTTAAGTATTGGCTGAGATATGACCATCTGAATGAATATATGTCCTATGGGAACTCAGTGTTATATGCTCTGGCTCCTAACCATTAGGAGCCAGAGCATATAACACTGAGTTCCTATGGGGAATATATTTATATTATTACCTTAATTTTGTTCACAGAGCTTAACAATTCCTTTGAGGAATTTTCGGATTAACATAGAAAACATAAATGGATTAAGCTAAGGGTAATACAGTGACAGATAGGCGAAAGGAACACGAAGGATGGAATAGAGGCGAGAAAAGAAATTCATATGAAAATTATTTCCAAGTAAGTTCTACTATTCAGTTAACTAGGAAATGAGATTTTCTTTCATGAATCAAGTAGCAAATAATTCAGTCGGCGTCATTCATACGAAATACTGCCTGTGTGCATGTTTTTATACACGATTAATTTAAGAAATTAGAAAATAGTAGCCATTTATTTAGGAAAAGATATGCCAAAAAAATGCTAATCAAAATCCTTGCTTTTAAATCTTTGATAAAAAATTGATGGATAGGGATAGTCTACATTCTATTACGATAAATAGTACTTGCAGTGATAATAGTTATTTATCTACTTCTGAGTTAAATTCTTGGGTGTAGAATGGTGTTATGTAACGTATATTTTCCGACGAAGGATAAAGAGAACACATTAACACGTTAGTTACAGGAACTACATAAAAGCTTGAAAAAGATAAATAGGAATAATGATTATGTTATAATAAAGGGAGATTTTAATTTGATTAGAAATTATGAGTTAGATTATAATGGAAAAAGTAGAGTAAAGCTTTCACAATACATTTCAAGGAAGTGAGCGTTGTTATGGACAGGCACGTAGCCAGAGTTCGATATTTAGGGGGGACATACATGTAATCGATCGAGGTAAAAAAAAAAAAAAGGGTCTAAAAAAGTTCAACCAATCTTGGAAATTCGTCCTTGTTTTCACGAAGTGACGGTAGTGAGGAAAATCGTAACGCAAAGTGAATGCAATTTTTTTTCACTACCGTCACTTCGTGAAAACAGCGACGAATTTTAGGGGGCACGTGCCCCCCCCCCCCCCCCCCGTGGCTACGTGCCTGGTTATGGAAGAGTTACATTTGATAGATATATGGAGAGAAAGAAACCCAATGAAAAAACAATTCACTTTCACTAAAAACAATCCAGTTATGCAAAATCGGTTAGATCATTGGGTCATATCCAAAGATTTGGAAGGGCTGGTTATCAGGTGAGACATAATATCGTCTTCGTGC